TAATGTTTAATATCATATCACACTTTCTAAAGATTAGGTGGGGGTGTATTCCTTTGGAGTTTCGAGGGACATTTTGAGACTTTATGAGATTTAAGACTTTTTAAGATTTTGAGATTTAGGTGAAATATTAAGTCTGGAGGTGGAGGTGTGGAGGTGGAGGTGGGATTTGGAGTGAGATTTTGTGTATGATTGTTTCTTTTGAAATCTCACCAAATGTTAAAAAGCCTTTAACAATTCATAGTCTTAAATAAGTTAAATACCTCAAAATTTTGTAATACTTTTTAAAATCTCAAATGCGAGACTTTTAAATGTCTGAATATAATACACCAAGATTTTTGAAGTATTAAAAAACGTCTTATAAATCCCAAACGAATACACCCCGTAGGATTCCTTGACTTCCTATTTAAAGTAAAGACGGTTTTTTGTGCTTTTAAATGTCAACTTTTGAATTTTAACGGTTAGCATTAGATTTATGATTCCACTACTGATTTTGATTTAAAATACGTAGAAGTTTTTGGCGAACTCAAATGTTTCCTTTATTTTCGTCAGGGAGTTAATAGATCAAGCACATAAGGAGAAGAGAGTGCTTTTAACAAGAGATGCCAAGATCTTGAGGCATGAATATTTGATAAAGAATCAGATATACCGGATTAGGAATCTCCTTAAAAATGACCAGCTACGCGAGGTAAATTCTCTGCACATAATCGAGTTAATTATTTGAATAGGCACACGCTTTTGGAGTTCTTGAAATTGAGATGGCGTGAAGGTTATCGAGACATTTCAGCTTAAGATCTCGGAGGACCAACTCATGTCGAGATGTACCAAATGCAACGGGAAGTTCATTCAAAAACCCCTAACAACTGAAGAAGCTGTTGAAGCTGCAAAGGGGTTTCAAGTGATCCCAAATTGTTTGTTTAACAAAAATTTGGAATTTTGGCAATGCATGGACTGCAATCAACTGTATTGGGAGGTAGTCCTCAATCTACCTTTTTTTTTTGTGTGTGGTGTGTGTGTNAAGAGAAATTCTGGGGAAAAAAAAACGAAGAAGAGAAATTCTGGGAGCTTCGCCTCATTTGATTGGAATGTACTCGAGAATCATCTCCAGTTCTCTGCTCTAAAGTTACTTAGGTAGAAGGCCAACATTTAACTTTGATTTTCGCGCTATATTTTACTCAACATGAAATATATTAGTATAAAAAAAAGATAAATGCAATAATCAAATCAAAATATAAATTTTTTTAACAAAATAAATAATTTTATTAATGTATACTTTGTCAAAATAATATATAGAATGAAAATCAATTAAAAAGAAAATAAAAATTTTGAAAAAAACATTGTAGCGCGAGGAACAACACTGAGTAGTGCGAAAATGTAGCGCATCATTGGAGTGAGTTTTTCGCATAACTGCATTAGACTTGCTCTAAACGTGCCTCAACTACTTTCATGATTTGACTTGTTGGTGCCGAGAATCTGGTCACACATTGATTCTGAGCCGAAAGATGATAACATTAGTCAGGACATATAATTTGAAAGGAGTCATTGTCCATGTAATGTAAGAGAATTTCAGAAAAGTTGTGTTGGGTGATATATTGATATGAATACTTTCAAGAGTGATATTTCTTTTAGTAAAATAGGGAATAAAAGTGGTGACAATTGAAGAAAAAAAAAAAGAAAAAAAAAAAATGAAAGTGAACAATGCATTCGTGACTTGAATCTGTAGTAATTATAATTGATTTAATGCTTTTCTTTCGGTTAAAATTATAATCTTGTGTGGTTGATTATTGGAAAAGGTGCCAATGAGCTAATAGTGTAGTATTTAAAATTCTTACGTCACATTCTTGACGTGTATCTTTTGTGTTCTACCACAGGGAACCCAGTATCACAATGCAGTCCAGAAGTTCATCGATGTGTGCAAGCTAAACGAGCAAGCTTGAATGAAAGCTTATTGGAATCTGGTATGCCAAACTGGGATTGCTTCACTTGGAAAGAATTTTGTTGCCATTATTTCATTTGTTTCCTTGTTAATGTTAAGGTATTTATTCTATTTCCTATCTGTTGTTTAATCAAGAAGCTTGCTTCTTACAAACTCATGTTTAACTTGCACTATATTGTAGATTAATATTTCGTTGTTCATCTCGAAGTTGCCTAATGCACCCTAATCGTTAGGCAACCATACTTTCTTACAAAAAATGCATTTATATTATAAAATGTTGTAATTTTATTTATATTATATTTTAAAGTATGACATTTAAGTGTGAAAATGTCTCATCCTTAAACAAAACTATAGTTCTATATAAGAAAAGAAGTGTTGGTACTTTGATGGCCCAACTGGCCCAAAATGGGAACATTGGCTATAAATCTAAACCACCATAGATGGGCCGAATCCAATTCAATAGTTTGTCTTAGACCCCATCAAGTTGGATCCAGATCGACGGATTGGACCCATTAGCCAAATTTAGTCTATATAGAGTTTCTTGTACACCTGTTGTTAAATTAAATGAGTTTGGCTCGGGTCAGCTCGAGTTGGAGGCCTTAACGAGCCGAGCTCGAGCTCATTTAAAGTTCTTTTAGTTAACAGCTCGACTCGATAAGGTTCGTAAAGAAAATTTTTGTATAATTTTTATAATTCGACTCGTTAAATTTCGAGATCGGCTTGAACTAGAAGCCTTAACAAGTCGAACTCGAGCTCGAGCTTGATTTCTGGCTCGATTATTTGACGAGTTGAGCTCGGCTCGGCTCGTTAAGTGCTCGAGCTCTAGTACCTTAAGCTCGAGTTCGGTTCAGCTCGTTTACAGCCCTATGCATGATATACATACCTAGTTTTATTCCTTGGCAGCTGTCAATCTCAATCGACGGTCCAGATTCATTCTTATCACCTCAAGCATGTTGCCCGAACGTTTTGCTTTCTTATTGGCCAAACGTGGGACCTATCTGCAGGCTCCTGTAAGATGGTTAAAAGGTTAAAATGTATATGAAAGTTTGGATTTTTGCGTAGAGAATCTTTGTTCCGCCATAGGTCGGGGAAAAAAAATCGTATTTGAAGATAATTTTGATTTTGCTAAACAATTCATAGCCTCACATCTTTTGCCTAACTTAATTTCTTCTCACTTGACACCAAATACAGTAAATAACGTTATCAGTAAGCTTATTTATTATTAAAAAATTTTACTTATATATAAGCATCTAAATCATAGTTATAAAAAAGAGTCAGATTCTAGTGATGAAAATAGCGCTTTAGTGAAAGCAGTTAAACGCTCTCGAGGTCGCTCAAAGCTCTCTTCGTTAATGAGCTTGGCAGGACTCGACTCGATAAGGTTTGGAAAAATAATTTTTATATATTTTTCTATAATTCGGCTTGTTAAAGCTCGAATTTGGCTCGTTACTTTTACTAGCTCAATTCGTTAAGAGTTCGAGCACCCAAACCTCGAGCTCGGCTCGAATCGCTTACATGCCTCACTCTTATCAGTTTTTTAATCGTTTGAACGATGTAGATTCGTATTGATGTAAGGTTGAATAACCAGTAGATTAGTGTTCTCATCGGTAAGAATCGGATATTATGTTATCATGGAAGAGTTTAGATGATTTTGGTTGGCAATTGAATAACCAGATGATTTTGGTTGGCAATTGGGTATATAGACCTATCGGATGGCTCGGGTTATGGAGTCATCCATAGTTATTCACAAATAGTGTATTGACACGTGTCCTGCATTAAATACACATCGGACACATGTCAGTTCATAAAGTTATGAATGGTTCTATAAAGGAGCCATCCGATGGCTCCATAGAATTACCGTCGGTAGTCAATCTTTAACGGTTGTATCATTTTTTTATTTTCACGCCATAATAGAAGATTTAGTAGGTACACATTTTACGGCTTTAGTCTTCATTAGATCTTTGGTACGTTTTAGACCACAAGCTCTAGTATACATTGGTTGAATTTTTCTTCACTAATTTCACGTTTTTATCTAAATCATGTATTTATATTAGTGTCCTGAAAATCAGACGGAATGAAACTACAAGTTTAAATGGTGTTGATATCTTCGTAATTTATTTATATTTTAAAATGTTTATTAATTTATAAATTCATTAATGGTCTGAAATATCATATTATATTTTATTTATATTTTATTCGATAAAGTATGGTTCAAATAGATTATCCAATGGGCTAACCATGACGCTTATTTGTATATATACTAGTTCATATGAATAGATGCAAGTCCTACTAATTATTTCTTTTATGATATTTTTTTTTAATGTCCAGTCGGTTACACCTATTTTGAAAGGTATTCATGGTAATGTATGTTAAGTATTGGAATTCCTAGGAGTGTCTTCTATTCATGGATTTTTTCTCAAATTACAATGAGAGTTATGAAATTTTGCCAGCTAGGTAGCAATCTTATAACTTCACACCATATATTAACATTTTAGCCTGAAAAAAATTTAAAATAAAAAAAAAATAAATTCTGACTTTGGGAAACGTAATCAGTATATATTGTGACTTTTGTCTTAACCAAGTCTCCAACTTATACTACATTGATCCTAGTAATCTTACTCAATCTTTGATTTCGAAATTTAGTAGAATTCATTTTTTGACTTTAGTTTTTTTCTTTCATTCACACATATACAAATAAAATATTATAAATTATATATATGAATATAATAATTAAAATTATATATACCTTAATGTAAATATTACATTTCATATATAAATAAATTATTATAAAAAATCTCATATAATGTGCATATTACATTTTATAAATTTTATCGTTAGTAAAAATGAACAATATGGATATAGTATGAATATAAGTTATTTTACTTACATATGAATTATACTGTAATGATTGCATAAAATACAATGAATAATATAATTTGTGCAATTTTAAGTGGTTTACTATACCATTAAAACCAAATTGATCATTCTGATTTTTTAAAAATTCGTTTAATAAGATGAAACAAAAAGTTAATATTGATTTTAATAAAGAGTTTATAATGAAGAAAGTTTTGCAATAGAAATTTTTTACAAGTATATAACTTCCATGTACTCTTTAGTGTTAATTTAAATTACTTAGTATTATTAGTTGATATTATATGAAAAAGTATTGAAATAATATAATTATGCTTAATTATTGTAAAATAAAACATTTTGTTTCACAATAACTGAAAAACCCGAGT